CTACATGCTCCAGCATGGGCACCCCCCATGGACCTCTGCATCCCTCATGGATCCCCAAGGGCTGCAGGGGCACAGCTGCTTCACAAGAGTCTCACCATGGCATGCAGAGGAATCTTGGCTCTGGTGCCTGGAGCACCTCCTCCCCTCGCCTCCTTCTGCACTGACTGAGGTGTTGCCATGTAGTTTTCCTCACATGTTCTCACATCCTCCTCTTCTCTGGCTGGTAAACAAAACCCGTGTTTCCCTACTGTTTTGATTTTTTTTTCCCAAGTACATTGGCACAGAGGTGTTACCAACCTCTCTCATTGGCCCAGCTTTGGCCAGCACCATGTCCATCTTCAGAGCCATCAGGGATTGGTTCTGCCAGACATGGTTGAAGGTTCAGCAGCTGTTCACAGGAGCCAACTCTGTGGCCACTCCACTACCAAAGACAGACCATGCAAAACCTACATAAAAGTGTAATATTGTTTCTCCTTCAAACATCTCAGATATTCTCCAATTTTCATTTTTTTAAAGATGCTAAGGAGCAGCCCTATGAAGATATTGATCAGCTCTCTCAGAAACCTTCAAAGAAGCTTGTCCATGGATATACTATGGGTCAAGTTCACCAAAAGAAACTCTGGCTTGATCTGCATCCACTTTCTTCTTGAATCTCTTCACAAGTCTTTGCTGGCAAGACTGAGGCTATGAAAGGCACTGAGTACCTCTGTCCTGTTTGCATTCATGCTCATTAAATCATTTGCCCTATGGAGAAACAAAAAGAAAGTGCCCCCCTCAACTGAATGGCCCATTCAAGGGAGTATGAGGATGAAGATCCAATTGGACAACATGATAGTGGATGCCTCCACAGCACCTCCCACCCCTGAAAAAGGTATGATTGGTCTTGCAATGGAAAGCAGAAATTCCACTCCCAACAAGAGGGCTAGAGCAGGGACAGTGTATCCAGGTATATCAAATGTCAGATATCCAGTGTATCCAGATATCAAATGTCAGCATTTTGTGGGGACATCACTAACCACAATGGCATATACAAATATGTGTATTTTTAGTAGTAATATTTATTGTCATCATGTATAACAATGGTGACAAAAACAACAAAGAAAACCTTTGCTCTTACTTCTTGTTGTTAGTTTATATTTGATGAACCACAATAATGGATCTGGATTTCTGAATACTTTCCGACAATTAACAAAAAACTTAACATTTTTTTTGTGGTCAGTATTATTTGCATCTGTATAAAAGTTTTTTTTTAATTTTTTTTCATATTTACTTGGCTTGTATGTAATGTACTGCAATAACAACTATAAAAGAACTGCTTACCTGTACAAAGCCTCCTAGTTGCTTACAGTGGCAGACTCCAACCCCTCTGTCACTAAGAAATTCTGAGTGAAAGTTTTGTGCAGAAGAGTGACACTCACAGAGGCACACTAGTAGGCTGCATACTTTTTACAGCATTGTTTCTTTATTATTATTCCAAATTACATCTGTGCTGTCACCGATGGCCTACTTTTTCAGGGGGTTGTGTGTTTTCATTTCATCTCAAGCATCACTAATTCTTCAAGGAAGCAAAAAAATGAATTCATTTGTTCTTTGGGCACTGGCTAGCTAGTCACTTCTCAGACTGTAAGATGCTTGGTAAAAGGAAGAGCTGTTAAAACTTATACGATAAGTCCATAAGAAAATCTCCAGTTTATAGTTTTAATACATGTGCTAATTTGGAAAACAGCAGGTGAGTAGCAGGCCATTGAAAGCAGATACTTGTATGTTAACAAATATCAGGTAATGATTGTATGCACACAATTTTTTTCAAGAATAATTTACTCATTGTTTTGATTTATTAAATTTCCACCCTCTGATGCTCATCTGTGTCTTCAGAAACTACCATTTAAACACAAATTAGACCTTTTCTTCTTTTTTTTCTTTTTTTTTTTTTTTTGTGTTATTGGAATCACCTGCAACTTTGCCTCTTTATAGTGTTTTTAATTTTGTCTACAACCAAGACTTTAATGCTGTGATGTATATTCCAAAGGTACCGAACTGTCCACAAGGCTTTTTGTGGGTTATTCCCAAAGTCTCTGCTGAGAGCTCTTTCAGCTGGATGCTCAGTTGCCGAAGTCTTTCCGAGGTACTGAGGTTCCTCCTGGGGCTGCAGAGTCGCTCTGCCCCACATTGGGCACCAAAATATTGGAATATAATCCCAATATTACCAGGTAGGTTGTGCCTGGGCTTGTCTGACCCTTGCTGCTGGGCTAAAGGCGGCAACTGTGGTGCTTCACCTCAGAGACACTTTTGGCTGGCTGGGTGTTGCAGCTGGGCACTGAAACAAACCCAGGCTTGTAGAAACTCAGTTTACCTCAGGTGGAAGGGCTTCAGGCTAGGGTGAAGAGGAAAAGGAGACGGATTCTGCCGGAGGGTTAATATCCAGAGTTTTATCCCATGGTCACAGAGGTCTGAATCTTGGTAACAGCTCCAACAGAATACCAAGCATATGGTCCTGGCTCAATTTAAGCCCAGGGACAGGGGGAGGAAGAGGTTCTCAGGGAACAAGGGACACATAGACAGGCTAATGACCCCAGGCCTGGATTGCACACTTTGAACTTGACCAACCACACAATGGCTTTGCTGAAATGTTAAGACTGACTGACAGCCCAGCAGGGGGCAAGGGGAAGGGGAAGAGAGGTATTGGCACACCTGGGAAGGGACTAGGAAGTCTAAAACAGGAAATTGCAACACACTGCAACACTATATGTATTCAGCCCACATTCTAAAACTTGAGTGCTTCTATCTTATATGTAAACTTTTCTATCCTTTTCGTCATGCCTTTCTTACTGTACATGTCATTTACTTATGAACCATGGGCTTCCCTGTTCTAATTTATTAACTGTTGAAAGAATTATGCCAGTGATAGCTCTGCAAGATTAGATCCTGTGTTTTAAAAAATCTCCCTTACAAATTATACCTCCTTGCAATTCTTATACTAGCACTGCAGGTTCTGTGATTTTCTTCATAAATGAAGGCAAACTCCTTACTCCATTAAAAGGATTGGTAAAATTCCTGCTGAATTCAGTGCAAATAGATTTAAACTCTCATGTCTCGGCTGTCAAGTAATAGCTAGCACCTCCAATGATAAACACCTACTCTTTATTTTTTAACCTTGGCAACATAAACAGGTTAATGTCAAAGTACAATCAAATGGCAGTTTAGTTTGATGACACCACCACATCACTTTGATTTGTAACTGTCTCAAGATTTCTGCGCTTTTTAAAATTTTGCTCTTTTCACACATCAGGTATTCCGGAGTTCAGAAATTAATTTATGGAAGATGGAAGATAAATGTTGCACTTCCATGAAATTCTGCAGTGTTACACAGTTAAAAAGCACAGTACCAGCAATTGTTTTACCCTTTGAGAATGATTTTTTTCTGTGGCAGTGCCTAACATATTATGGCTGGTTCTGCAAAGCCATAAGGTTTCCAGCATGTTCATCACCAAGTGACATCAATCAAATATTTGCTGCCAAGCGCAATGACTTTAGAGGCACTGGCCTTCACACAAAAATTTATTCTATGATTGAGTTTCATAATATTAGCATTAGATAAGCAAAACAGTGATGAATATTGGCTAACTTGATGACTGGCTAGGTGGAGAGCAGTGGATATGTATGTCTTGGCTGTATCAAGGCTTTCAATACTGTCTTTCATAGTATCCTTATAAACATGCTGATTAGGTATCAGATAGATGAACGGACAGTGGACTTAAAAAAGGATTGCCAGGTAAAAAAAAGGGTAGTGAACAGAGGCACAACGTCCAGTCACTAGTGGTATAGCCTGGGGACTGATACTGAATCCAAAATGACCTGGATAAGGAGAGAGGGAATCCTTAGGAAATTTGAATATCAAATAAAATGGGGAAGAGGGACTGATACTCCATAGCTATGTTGCCATTCAGAGGGTTCTGGACAAACTGGTGAAATGGGTTAGAAAAAAAATCACAAGAAAATCAAATTTTTTCATATTTCACTATTTCCTGGGGAAAAAAATCAACTGCTTCAGACTAATAACCCCAGTTTATTCTGTTTATCCCTGCCCCAGCCATTCTTGTAAGACTCAAAGCCACTTCTGAGAAGTCTTTAATATAGCTAACATTAGCTACATGAATTGTGACATATGGCTAAGCAGAAATGCTACCCTCCCTCCCTACATTCTTTCCTCCTTTTCTTTTCCTTCTGATATACAAGGAGACTTAACTATTCTACTCTCTGTGGAACATAATGTTTGCTACAATACCAAATGGTACAGCAGATTTCTGAAGCGCAAGGTAAAATTCTCTGAATTTTCTATAATAAATAGACCTTACAGAACTCAGGATCATAGCTATTAAAAAAAAAATCACATCCAGATGATATAAATCTTGAATTGCAAGGTCAAAAGTCTTGCTCAGTAATGGAAATGTGAAAAATATTTACAATGAATCACTCACTCACATACCCCTCTCAAATGAGCTGGGATATAAAGTATTACATTACCCCATGTTTCAAACCAGCTTTTTTTTTTTAATACTATATTCTCAGTAATTTGATCCACAAACACAGACTATGACTAGATTTTTGTACAAGGTAACAGGATAATATAACAGCATCATGCAATAAACAAAACCACCTTAACCAGAGTGTTCAGTTTAAACTATTGCATATTTTGGCACTGTTAAAAAAATAACAACCTATAGGAACCTCTGCTCAGAGGTTTCTCTGATTCTAGGCATTTTCCCTGACATTATATTAGAGTGTCTTACATTTTGCCATTTTTCCATTAATAGCTTCTGCTGACACTCACAGTCCAGAGCAATAATGTTCCAAACAGCTAGCAACAATGGCAGAAGCATGCTGTTGAAAGATGTTAACAAAAAAGTCATACATTTCTGTGCAGCAATTTTTAAAGAAAATATCAAGGATCAAATCTAGATTTTCTAATTCATTTAGACAAGACTTTAATGAGGACTTACCTGATATATCTTCTAGTGGAGAAAGTGACTTTCAAAAAGTATTTCCCAGCCTTGAAAAACATAACAAACAAACAAATAAACAAACAAACAAAAATTACTTCCAACGCAACATAGTGGACTGTAAATGTGACTAAAAATTTCAGACTTAAACAAAGATGGATGAAACCTTTGCAATTTATCCGTACAAAACCAAGCTACTTTTCCCTGAAATCTTAAGCTGACAAATTAGTTTTTAGCAATAATATTAGCTGTAATATATAAGGTTCAAAATTTTAAAACAAGGTATTTCAACAATAAACTTTCTTATAGTCCCTTCAGATTTTCAGATGTATGACTGAAGTACTTCCAATGCTGATAAACATGGCTGTGTGGAAATGGCTCAGATTCTTCTCCTCTTAACATCTTCTGCAGTCCCTTTTGCACTAACTGAAGCAGTACACCCCTCATGAACAGTACATACTCATGAGAATTCACTGGAATTTGTTGTTAAAAAAAAAAAAAAGAAAACAAAAAAACCCCAGAACTTAGGATTTATTCTCTCCTACACCTAAATCTTCCACACTGCTCTAAAGCTTGGTGAAGAAAAGGCAATCAATGGTTACCCTAAAAAGTCAGTAAGTAATTTCAATATTTAGATTTCAGTAATACTTAAGGTGAAATTGTGTTGGACCTCCATTTGGCTGCATTCTCTGTGCAGAGTACATCATAGGATTTACTAAGAAAAATCCCACTTTTGCCTTTGTGAAACACCATTTCTGCAGGTTTTTTACTACTGGTCTTAGTTAGACAAATTAAATGTCCTAGACAAATTATATACATACAACTCACATAAGTACATAACAGACATAAAATGTCTTCTTTTATCAGGCAGACTTTATTTATTTATTTATTCACCTATTCACTCTTTTACATATTTGGTTCTGTGCTAGAGAAGCGGCTAAGGAGGTGAAAGAACATTTTACCAGCACATCACTGTCAAACCATGAATGGTTTCAGTCAAACTGTTAAGGCAATAAATGCCCTAAATCCTTTCCCTGAAATGTTGAAAATCTGAAAAGAAAATGAACAGCATCAGCATGACCTGAAGTTAATGCTTTGAAACTGAATTAAAACAGAAATCTGTGTTTAAGTGGAAATGCATCTGAGACAACAAAAACTAACATCAGCAACTCACAGGTGAATGTCACAGCCTGCAGATACATTGACAGTTGTACAGACAAGAATGCTAGGCATAGTATACCTGGTAAGTCTACTAATCTTAAAAAGCACCAGAGCCCTGTTCAGCTTCTCATTCAAAACTACATAAGAATAGTTCAAAAATTTTCATGCACAAATTTTATGTTTTGAGCTGTCTGTTTAGATGGGCAATGCTAATCACTTTGCTTACAAATTCTACTTTTGCTTTCATATTGCAATTGTAATGCTGTACATTATGCTGTTTTATTCTAAACATATTTATTGGAATTTAGGTAATCAACAAAATTTAAAACAGCAACTGTAGGAGCAACAGAAACAGAAGTTTTCTAGTCTGTCTGTCTATGAATATAAGCAACTGACTGTTTATGAAACAAGCCAAGAAACCCCTGTGAGATAAGTCATATGACTAAGCCCAACATCCATGCTAGTGCATTAGCAGAGGAGCAATTATGCTTCTTTTTTAAGTTTGCAGTAACAGCCCATGTGAATCCAGTATAATCCTGTAGGTTTCTTGTTTTGATTGGCATAATCCCTAACAGCACCTTGTACTTCTTGTACAATGAAAAATGACAAGAGTGACTTTTTTGAGGCACAATTATCTCAAGTCATAAAACTGCACACATTATAGCATCTTCAGGGAATAGCTGCACTACTGTATCAACTTCTGCAGACATACATTTAGCATGGGAATATTTATTTAAAATACTCTTTAACTCTTAGTATTCTTTATTATACCTTTGACATACATCAGCTAGAAAATATTGAGACCACAAAATGAATATCTAAAAGAATGTGACAAACACTTCTCAATAAACTTGGAAGGTTGAAAAGTCATTTAGTCTGCAAAGAAGACGGGGTTTTAACTACTATGGCTGTTATGGTAAAATCAAAATCTAAGTAGTATAAAATTTATTGATTCATAAAGGCCTTTTTCCCTTCAAGGCCGCCCTAAATATTATGCTCATAAATAGGTGCGGTTCTTGATCTTCAAGCATTTTTTTCTCTGGCATCTCTTCCTTTTCTTTCATAATTTTCTGATTCTGCATTTTCCAGCAGTCATGCCCTATACACAAACAATGCAGTTATCCTCCGGTTGTTTTAATTTTCTAAGTGTCTTTCTGCTGATGAAACCCAGTCTTTGGAGTACTGAAGTCTATATTCTTGTTAGTACAACTTCAACAATTAATACTACAAATTTTCCAAAAAGCATTGAGCAGCTAATCTCAAGGTTTCACATAAATCATAAAATATGACATTTTACTGCAGTAATCCACAGTTTAAAAAGAACAAAAGAACAGTAATTTGTCTTTGAAATTCTATGGCATCTAAATAGAAATACCAAATATTGCTAAACTTAAAATTTTTTAAAAAGCAACAAACCTGTCTCCTTGCCAAAGACATAATGGGCTATTCTATTTATAAGCTTTTCAAAAGCTGTGCCTGCCTAGTTGCTATGTGTGTCACAAGTGTCAATGACCATAGCCTTAGAAATCTTTCAGTCAGAGCAGAATTATCATTAGCTTACAGATGAAGATCATCTGAATCATCACAATTGTTTAAAGCTGTCTGCATTTATTTATAAATAAATGCAACATGTGCAACATGTGAGGAGGCTGGGTGCATACCAGAAGAGGTGGTGGGGAATATCTGACAGTGACACTAGGCAAATCCCTGGAACTATTGCTAGGCCACGAAAATTACTCAAGAGTGATGCTAGCCCGATATTTAAATATCAAAACTCACTGAATTCTCTGGCCCTTAAAGCAAGCCTGGTAAACTGTATTCCTAAGGAGACGTTTCTAGAGTTTCATTTATATGCCTTTTGCTCCAATTTCCCATTAGTGCAACCTTTATCTCAGAGTCTTCTCTGTTCCTGCTCCATGGTGAACTATTCTTGTGCACTGGTCAGGTAATGAACACTGTTCCATCTCCCCATGGGAACAGTGTCTATGGCTGGAAAAGAAGAAAAATAAATCTAAGGTAGCTTACACGTCTCAGAGAGCCAGGGACTTAAGCTAATTACAAGCTGAACTGCTGTATGTGCACTTTTGAAGCACCTGCCCAACTCCATTTGATTGAAAATTTCTATCAAATTAATCTGAGAAGTATTTATTTTATGCATTTTAAGAACAAACGCCTGGCAATGAAAAACACAGGATAACAATTCTTGTGTTGAAGGTATATGCCTGATCTTAAGCAAAGCTATAGTATAAGCATACCCAAAGTGGGCCACAAGGCTATCGCAGTGCAAGAAATTTAAACTTCATTATATTTTATGAGTTTTAGTCCATAGATTTCATAGTCTTTCACAGAAAGATTTTTTTTTTTTTGAATGGCTATTTAGATTATTTTTGTGTGAGAAAATATGCCATCTCCAGATCCTCCTTTATGACATAATCTGGGCATATAGCACATTCAGGTATTCTGGTGTTGTGCAACAGCTTTGTATGCCACCTGTCATCCTGTAACACACAATTCTGCTTAAACCATTAATATTTTGTGTGGGACCAAATGCATCCACAGACATAATAAATACACTTAAATATAAAGGAAGTCTTACACTGATTTATGGAGAGAGAGTAAGGCTTAAAAAATTCTCAAAATTATTCTTTTATTTTTTGGAACATGAAGACAGAAATAGACAATGAAAAGTGGGTTATTATTAGAGTTTGGATTGTTATAGTCTAGATAATTAGAGTATGGTAGGACAAAGCAAATAAATGTTAGACTAGAAAGAAGATATGATGTAAAGAGATTGCCTGGGAAAATAACATCGCTTAAAAAATCCTCATATGTTCTTGGAACATAGCTCCAGAACTTAGCTTCCTAAGCTCCACAACTTGAGTTGCCATTTCATACTGTTTAGACAAAGCACCAGACTTCTGGCAGATTCATTTCAGATGTTTTGTTTCCATTCTCTTGTCTTCACGCAGATTCTGCATTTTATATTTCCTCAGGGTGAGACTCAGCAGATCTCTTAAGTGAGGTGAGTAGAGGCAAAATGAACAACCAAACCACCACAATACTTAGCAAAGCATAGTAAATCATCCAGTGTGGCATTTCTGAAAGAGTAAAGGATCTGCACCTGGGTGGATTTAGGGCAGCAGGAAGTTAGGTGTCCATCAACCCCATCCGTGTATCACTAGCCCAGTTAATCACCACTTAGGAACTATTAGGCTGGACAGCATGAGCTCTGTCAATCACAGTTGGTACAATGTAGTGCTGAAAGTGGAGCAGTCACTAAGGATGGCCCTATTTCTAGCTAACTTGTTTTGGCAGAATGTTTGTGTGCATCAACAGACTGAAATGTCAGAGAGCTGAAGATGATGTGGGTGAACGTGAAAAACCAGAGAAGACTGCAGAGAAAAAGGAAGAAACCAGAATAAAAAGTGAGCAAGTAAATATAAGGAAGAGCAGAAGATTAAAGGTATGAATCAATGCTGTAAATAATATTATTAAAACAAAGACACAGGAAGTTTTCCACTAAGAATATATTTCAATTAGGTGTTAAAGGCAGGATAAGCATCAATAAAAATTGATCATTCAGCTTATTAAATTCTTTGTGTCACAAGTGCCCTTTAATCACTTGTTATACCACCCAGTACTCTTCCGTAGTTTCTCTAATACAAAAAGAGGGAAAGAGGCAATAGAAGTCCCAGGTGTGAATAATTTTGTACCCTCTGATAAGACATGCACTCCACTGAAGCTGGCCATTAACAAGATCCACAAAGCTCATAACACTTAAATGCATATTCATATCTCTGTCTGACTAACTAAAGCTCTAAATAATATTAATATAGATATTTTGTATGTTTACTAGGTGTTCCTGTTATACATAATTACTACCTTTTTTTCACTTTCACAAACAACTGAAATTTGAGAAGTTTAATCCTTTTTCTGTGGTTTATTATAATTGAAGGTTTGTTTTTTCCTGGAGTAGGGGGTTCATTCTGAGTACATCTATGCTTAATTACTATGCATCTGTAGTTAGCACAACAAAGTAGAGAAGGTGAAAAAGACATGAACAGTGGAAAACTCTTCAGGGTGCAGATAAAATATTCTGGACATCGGCACAAGGGTTGCCCCTTAATTTCTTTAAAAGAGAATGGGAAATAGGTCTCTTCTCTCCCTAAACCAAAAATATTGTCGACAACTTAGTTATTTAAGGAGAGTGAAACATGCCAGAATGGCATGTTTACAGTAAGCAAATTAGCTCACACCTCTCCATTTCTGTTGCTTATTCTGAATCTATGTTTTGTTTTTCTTCTCTTTCTGATCGTATAAAATGCTCAGAAAAAGCATGCAGCAGGTTTTTCAGTGGGTATATTGGGACAAATTTGTTAGCCAGTCCATGCAAAGAGATGTCATGGACATAGCAGATAATTCCTTTGTGGTAGAGACATAATGGAAAGATCTTGCAGAAGTAAAGTTCTGAGTATGTCATGCTAATTGTAAATGGCAACATTATCTGGAAATTGGTGTAATTTTATCCATAACTGGTTTGAAACTAGCAACCACCATAACTACTTTTAATAGCTTCCTTTAGCTGGCAGCTAGCTTTTGAAAAGTGATACACACAACTAGATGTCTCCTGAAAGACAGAGCAGAGTCCATTTATTTTCAGGTTCATGTCACGTGGCAGCACAGCCACTGAAGGTTTGGAAGTCAGCATTAAAGGTCATCCAGTCCAACCATTTCCTTCAATGGGCAGGGACATCTTGAAACAGATCAGATAACTCAGAGCCCTGTTTGAACTGATCTTAAATATTTTTAGAGATGGGGTATTTAAGACCTCTCTGGGCAATCTGTAACAGTACTGTACCACCCTCATAATGAAAGAGTTCTTCTATATATATTCCTTTGTAGTTTAAAACCACAACCTTGTCTCCTATTGCTACAGGCCCTGCTAAAGAAACTTGACCCAATCTTTCTTATAATCCACTTTTTCAGTGACAAAAGCATTCTCTCCTTTAGGCAAAGCACCAGCTTTCTCAGCTTTTCCTCACAGAACATCTGTTCCAGCCGATTAATTTTTTGCCCTCCTCTGGAGCCACGGCAACAGGTCCACACCTTCCTCGGTACTACTGACTGCAGACCTGGCAATAGTACTCCAGGTGGGGTCACATGAGAGCCGCCAAGGAGGAGCTGGTAGTTAGGAGCTAGGGGAGTTAACATAACATCTTTACAAAGATTAGTAGCTATTTCGCTCTTTTAACGCTATTTTTAGGCCGGGGCCAGCAGCCCGTGTAAGTTTCTGCAATGCTGTACAGCATACCTACCAGGAGAAAATCTCCCAAACAGCTCTGGAGCGCTATGGTTCCCTGAGCACAGCCTGTCACACTCATAATCAGACTGTGTTTACAGGAGCAGCAGCGCTCTTGCATTTACAAGCTGCTGAGCGGCGGCCTGGAGACAGCACAGGCGCCGCTGGGCTGGGGCGGGCACTCCCGGGCGGGCACTCCCGAGCCGGGGGACTCGGGGCCCGAGGCACCCGCCCCGGGCGACTCCCGGCGCGGCGGCGCCACCTGGCGGCGCGGCGTGAGGCGAGGCGGGCGGGGCGCGGGCCGTGAGGGAGGCGCTGCACCGGGCGCTGCTGCCGAGGCCCGGTCCGGCCTGGGTCTGCCGCCCCCAGCCGCCGGCACCACCCGGGCCCGGCCTTCGCCTTTTTGTTTCACCAGAGCATTACGTCATATCTTCTCTCCAGGTGGAGGTAGCCTTGATATAGTATTTAAAGATTCGCCCCGCTGATTAAAATTCCTTGTTCTGTGCTCTTCTGCTTTTATAGAAGCAGTGAATTCCAACCCTGAAATATGTCAAATGGGAGAGAGATTTCTGCCTGAAAGACACAACCGGCTTCATTTGCCATATTCAGTGAGCAAAATACATACTGTTGGAGCAACACACAAAAACAGAACAAAAGGTGGTTTGAGAGGTCCTTTGTTCTTTTCAGTCCTAAAGGAAAGCTTTTGATAGGAAAAAATAAAATAAATTTTAAAAAGCCACCTGCTATCACAGGTGTCAATTCACCTTAAGATAAGAACTGCACCAGACCTGTCTTATTTTAGTCCATGAACACAAAAGTGCTGCTGGCTGAATCAGATTTGTTTCAGTGGTAGGATGTCTTTAACAAGGTTTTTGCTATCATCCCTGCAGTACAGCCAGGCAGGAAACATGATGGGCTCTATGGGAGAGAGGTGATGAGTAAGGCAAACACAACTTCATGGATTTTTAAAATGCTAGTTTTTGTGAGTTACACATATTTATTGGCATTTTTAAAAAGCAGCAAATACTACAATTCCTTTAAGGTTTTAATAGTGGTACACAAGAATTAAAGATGAAAATAAACCTATTTCCTTTTCCTTAGAAATATGATGTTACAGCTGGCGTTTTGATATATGCATTTCTGATTTCATGGCAGCATTTTCTCCACTCATCGTGCTTAATTTCTTCTGAAGTTTAACTCAGATTCTAATTTTAACCCTTTTGACTCTGAAAATTAAATACTAGGGAGAAAAAGACAATTTCATTTATGTTTGAAACAGTAGCAATTAAATTAGCTCAGTACTGTACAAATTCAGTGATAGAGTGTACATTTAATGATGGTTACAGTTATTTGTATACCCATATACATACATACATATATATATATTTACACGCACAGACACATGCCCACACACTACATATACACCATAGAATATCTATTTGGCCATACAGCTTTTACCTCCAGTCAGTAAGATATAATCTACAAAATTAATCAGGGAGTGAAAGACTATAGTGGAAGTGCTAATTTTTCAGTAATAAAGTGAGCTTCTAAAGATAGACTATATCCTTGCTCGCATCAGAAAACTCCAAGACATGGTTTCTACACAGACATTTAGTGATTCTTAATAACATGATCTTATCACTTTTTGTTATTTGAGTAACTGGAAATTCAATTTTATCCTGCAGCAAAACCAAAATAAATATATAAGCATATAAGTTAGGATAATAGTATTTCTTATAGATTGAATTTTCTGGGAACTTTTGATAGGAAAATTGCAGTGATTCATTTGAATTCAATATAATGTTTTGTGTGGATTTAGCTTGATTAGAAACTGAAAAATTGACATAGTGTTTCAGGCCTTAATCAGTGCAACTAATAATGTGGCATTAAGACTCTTAGGCTGAATCAAATTAAGAAACTACTAAGGTTTTTTTCAAGAAAAGTCTTCTTATGGCCCATCCTGAAAGTTTTAATTTTAGCATCACTTTCCTTCTTTTTTCCCAGTTATAGCTTAGCTTTCCATCTGGCCTCTTTTTCTGAGCAGAACCAGTAGCAAGCTGTAGCAGAGGGGATAGGTCAAAACAGTGTATCCACTGAAAAAAGTTCCAGGGAGGTTTGTCCATAATTAAGTGTCCATTGTTAAAAAGGTGGTCCTCTCCATCCACTATCTAATCTTGGCTTGTCCATCTTCTCTTTATCACACTGCTCCATAGCAGCATCATTTAGACACTCATGGCTAAGCTATGGGTAAAAAACAAATTGTTTGCATTGAAAATGACCAGACATAATATTGAATACTCCACTTGAGAGAAGCAAAGCTTACTCTACTCTACTGAATCTGATTTAACTTCTATGGTGTCATATGATCTACAGCAGTCAACTTTATCTGCTGAGCTTCTGTGTGTCTTTTCTAGGTCTGGTTTGCAGTTTGTTGTTAGATCCTGTATGTCCATGCAATTTACACAAAAGTTCCCTCCTCAGGACATGTCAGTGCCTTTTTCTATTGCAACCTCAACCTTTGTAATGATTGTGCAAAAGATTGTACACACTCCAATGATGTAAGACCACCTGCCTTTCCTGAGTGAAAGCTAAATTACTTGGTATTGGTTTGAAACACATTTCTCTTCCTGAAGATTAGTTAGCTCTGCAGTGGCTACAGTATGGCAATGTGCATGTATGTAATGCAGTTTTTCAAGTAATGTACAAAAAGTAAATTATGACAAAATGTGATACAGTAGTAAGTACCTAAAGTTATAACTCCTTTTTCTATCTGATTAAATAATTCCTTATATTTGTATTTCTGTTTTAAATGTTATGTTGCTACTTCTCAAACACAAAATACACCTTTCTTGTTCTTTTTTTTATAGGCAGGTGGTGTTACTTAATTTGTTATGCAAGAAGTGAGAAACGTCATATTAGTACTTCCATGAGATTATGGTTTGTGTTCAAAGAAGCACTCAAAGTAGTGCAGGGGCCCTTTTTTCTTTTGTCAGTGTCTGCTTTGTAGGCTAATGGACGGAACTATATAGAGGAAAAAAACCACTGTCAGTTGCCTCTGCCAATTCCCTAGACAAACAGAATCTAGTGTGAACCAGCAAAACAAGCCTAGGCAAAACCCACAGAGCTACAGTAGACTAGATTTTGGGAGTGTTTTTTTGTTTTGTTTTGTTATTTGTTATTTGCATTAGGTTAGGGCTTTGTTTTGTTTTTGTTTTTTAATTCAGCCCACAAGATATGATAGAACATTGTAAAAGCCAAAACAGATTCAATATAGTAAGCAGCTGTACAGCTTTCTCCCTTATGGATTAGCTAATAATATGTTCTGTTATTTTGGGAAGAAACAGGTTGTTTTCTCTTCATGTTGCTCAGACTGGCAGTGAACATACAGAGAGTACTATTATGGATCTCAGTGGGAAGGTGGCAAAAGGAGAAACTTAACATAATTACAGAATTCCTAACATCCTCTTATTGTATTTAGCCTAGTAAGAGTTCATTTTTTAAAAATCATTTTGTTGTTTTTCACAATTGGACTTAATTCAAATTTTTAGTGAGTCTTGGGCTTAATGTAAATCTTCCAGTTTCAAGACTCTCAGGACCACCTCTGAAAATATCTGAGTGCTTGAAGGAAAATTGTATTTTGCAAATACAAAGTGCTCCACAAATTTTAGTGCACCCTGAGCCCTCTCAAGTAATTGAGTTCTGTGTCTATATGAGCTACTGACAAATTCATATCATTTTCTTCATGGTAATCTAGTTTCTCTTGTCTCTCCAGATTACACCTGTCTTTCCCAGTATGGAGGTTCCTCATAGATCTGAACAACTGGGAAATTTCTATGCAGTTTCACTTTCTCACTAAGATTAGAAGGAGCAAATTAGATCTCTGATTTAAGATTATGACAGTCTCTGATAACTACGAAACAAGTGCTCAGATGGGTCTGCATATACACCTTTCTACTGGAACCATAGAATTCTGTTAAAAAAATAACTTCTAACACCAAGGAACAAAACTCTTCAGCAGGACATCTCTTGCAAGTAGTTAGTAGAGAAATTGGAGAGTAGTCAAACTAGGAAAGAACCAAATTCTATCAGCATTCATTTTCTGCCAGTCTTTGAGAAAGTGGAGTGCCCTGCTATCATACTGTACCAAATGATACTTTAACTCTTTGTCCTTATAAAATATTACACCATCTGTTGAATCTGTCAGCTGTAATGGTTGTAGTATCATGATGTCCTTTATTGCATATTTTCCCATTAGAATTAAAATTTAAGTTTCATTTTAATTTATGTCAGTGCATTTTTATCCTCCTGATATCCTGATAGCCATCATGGCAAGAGTTACATTTTTTTTTCATTGTATTTTATATTTGGTTTTAAACGCTGTGTAGACAGTATAATTCTTGCATTTTTTCCATGACTCTTTTCATTACCAGCATTTTATTCTGATGGGTTTTTTTTTTTCCTTTCTATCTTCTACTTTTAGATTGTTGGAAATAAATGAGATTGGTAATTCCCAAATTCTTGGTACTAGTGATCATATGAGCTTTTATAAATATTATTCTTTCTTGAAGGTAAAAAGTGCTGTATCCAATGCAAACTACACTGACCTATGCTTGACTGTGTGTGCAAGATAAACAATTGAGAAAACCAGTGACTCTAGCTCAGCTTTCCTTTTGGCATATGGAAATAATTCCAAACCCAAATCTCCTTCAAGATGTGTGCAGGTAATAGGAACAGTGATGTGTCTTAAGTGCTGTGTACACCAGGCTGGATAAGGGGGCGAAACCAGACACTTTACTCTGTCTCTGCTTTTATAGAATGCCATGCTGTAAATGTCCTTAACCTGGAAACTCTCTCCTTTCAGTTTTCCTGGTGCTTTGTAGCTCTGTATTTAGCCTAAGTGGGACACTCTTAAAATCCTGCTCTCAGAACTGAAGGTAATGAAAATATTAAAGTTTTAGTGCTTATGATGTCATTTTCATATTTTTTTCCTTTTGGATCAGTGTGTGGTTAAAAAAACAAAACGAAACAAAAAACTCCCGCCAACAGTATTTTAAAATAAATAAAATGCAATTCCACCATTAAAAC